TTTTCACTCATCCTGATAATGTGGTACAGGGAAAACTTTCGGACTTGGTATTACAGGTTTGGAAAATCGCCTTGATTCTGGAAAAATAAGATCATGTATATTGAAGTGTTTTATATTTATATAATAAAGCTTATATAAAGATGGGCATTTCTACTGTTTCTATTTGTATAACCTTGGACACTTTCCCTAACAATTCTGAGTTTCAATTTCCTCATTTGTAAAATAGAGAAAATACCAATTATTTCTACTTTTATAATTATTCTGAGGTTCAGATAAGATGCTTGTGTATAAAGTCCTATACAAGGTAAGATGTGATTACTGTTAACATCATTGAAGTTAAGATGTATTGACTATAAGATACATTAGTTTATGCATTACTAAGAAAAAAAATGCTGCCAATTCAACTATAGCATTGTTTGTAAAAGACATCCAATTTTGGATACTTTAAAATGTGAAAAAACGTGCATCTTAAAAGTCATCAAATATAGTATTACGACTACTATTGAAACATCTGACACAAAACGCCTTAGGGGTTGGGATTTAAAATTCACTCAATAAATATTTAAACTTGATATTTTCATTACTGAATTGTTGGTGGGTTACATACCTTTTTGTGATAAACATTTACTTATGAAGGGCATTTTTAGGGACCTGAAGTTTGATGAAAGCCTTCATGTTTCAACTGTTAAATGCTAAATAAGCATTTGAAAGTCTTCATGTTCAGCTGAAGCATGTATTAGCCTGGGTACTAACCCTTCTGCAACCCAAGCTCAGCTCTGTTCCCATCACACACCTTGTTCATTAATCCTCAGAGATGCCATATTGTACACGGAATAATAACCCATAGCCGAGTAGTTAAGCCTGGCAGGAAGCTAAGAAATACCTATTTAATGGAAAGGTTCACTGGATTATGGCAACCCTTTAGCTGGAAAATGCTGAAACATTAAAAAAAAGCTATAATAGATATGATTCTAGATATTATACTTTGGTTGTTACCCTTCTACCTAACAAGCATTAGAGATAACAGTATGTGTTCAGTTGGCTGACTTCTTATCTCTTTATTAGAGACATAGTTATAGTAGGTTTAAAAGATTTACTTTTTGATTAACTTATTAATTTCTATGAGACTTTTCAAGATATCTTATGCTATATCTTGAGATAACATCATATAAGTACTTCTAAATTTCCATGATAATGGGAAAAGGGAATGACAGTGGCCTAGAACAGTGCCTGTCATTTAGAAGGCTCTCAAGGAATATTTGTGGATTGAATGGAGGAGGAGCTTCAAAACTTCACATGAATTTTGTGGTCTAATAAAGGGCTGAGATTCAGCAGACTTGGTCCTAACTGTGGCTCTACTACTAGTCTGAGACTTTGGGCAATTTAAGTAACCTGTTAATGTCTCAGATTCATCCTCTTAAGTGGCCTTAAGAGCCCTTGCACTACCTACTCTACAGGGTTACTGTGGAGGGATGACAGATTAGATAATGCCCGTGAAAGCATTCTGAAAAGTCAAAAGAGCTAAATGCGTATAAAAAGCCATCATTACTCACACAGAACTGAACATGTGGGCTCATTTCTGCCCTGCAGCAGAACCAGAGGTCAAATAGGTCAGGGTCCAACTTTTTGGCCAGGGCCTCTTTAAAAATTTCCAATCGTGGTGATCAGTGATAAAACTGTATGTGTATTGTTGGAATGTTGACCAATGGTTTAAAAAAAAGATGCACTTCTCTCATTCTTTCAAATAGGCACAGCAAGACCCCATACATCATCCGGTAGAAGCACTTAAAACTGTGAAAATTGGTTCAGTCAACATATTACTGTATTTCATTCAAGAATAAAATACTGTAACAAGAAGCCAGAAAAAAGGGGTTCTATATGGGACTCACAGACCACCGTGGAGTTCAGAGATGGGCTTCAGGAGATCCTCAAAATTCCATGCGCAACACTGTGTTCTAGGGGGAGAGTGATCTGGAACTCCGCAAGAGTTAACACTGATTTAGCTGACTCAAGCAAGAGTTCTGAAGGTAACAGTGATTCCGATGCTTTTCTTTGCCTCCTCTGTAATGTTTGTTTACATGATTCTCTTTTTATTCCTTGTTTTTCACTAGTGTGTATCAAGACTACTGTGAAGGCAATCAGGGCCTCTTAGATCAGTTGATAGAGGGCAAAGTAAATGACAGCATTGAATAAATATTAAATACAGAAAGCCATTAGCGTTGTTCTGATCACAGTATCTCCAGGAAAGAAAAAGAAGAAAAAGCAACAAATTTCCTTTTTCACTTTATTAAGGGCATAGGAAAATGGGGTTAGGTATGTTTTTATGTGTAGACACACGTCTATAGAGGTGGCTGGAGGACAAGACAATAGAATAAATGTGGAACCGAGAAGGAGGTTAAAGTAGAAAGGTAAAATATAAATAGTCTGGAAAATGCAAGTTGTAAAGTAGCAAAAAGCAACTATTCACAACACTGACAAACGTCTTTAGTTACCCACTACCTAAAGATGCCTCCAAGCCAACTGGTTTCCAGTTTGGGAACACAATGGAGACTCAATTTTTAAAATTCTCATGTACACTAAAAATAGCAAATCAGAGAGTTTGAACCAAGGATGAGGTAAACAAAATCCCAATCCCAGTAAACATTAAAAAAAAAAAAGGCTGAACAATTATTCTGAAGTTCTAGTTGAATCATGACTAGAAATGAACCTTCAGGGAATTCCCTGGTGGTCCAGTGGTTAGGGAATTCCTTTCACTGCCGAAGGCATGGGTTCAATCCCTGATCGGGGTTGAACCCATGCCATGCAGCTTGTGGGATCTTTGTGTTCTTTGCTTGGTGGTAACCGCTGCAGCTGTGGCAATGGAACTCATGATCTGGCTGAAGTGTGATGCACTTCATAATAGTTCAGTAATTTAAGGGGAATGAAAACAAACCAAGATCCGGTTTTCTCCGACATTTATGAATGAAATCTTCCCCTTAATAAGGCACAGGGAGATGATCCATAGATTGTTATATACGACAGTAAGGTTTTTGAAAATTCAGATACGGGCAACAAAAGTATAGATTTTGGAACCTGATTTTAAAATGCACTTGAAAATGTTAAGTTGATGACTTTTTTTTTTTTTTTTTTGGGGTGTGGGCCTCTCACTGTTGTGGCCTCTCCCGTTGCGGAGCACAGGCTCCGGACGCGCAGGCTCAGCGGCCATGGCTCACGGGCCCAGCCGCTCCGCGGCACGTGGGATCTTCCTGGACCGGGGCGCCAACCCGTGTCCCCTGCATCGGCAGCCGGACTCTCAACCACTGAGCCACCAGGGAAGCCCGATGACTGTTTTTAGTGATAGCTTTCAATGCAAATGTGAAACCTTAAAATAAAATGAATAAAAACCAAATTACATTCTTTATTTAAAAACCTGTTTTAGATGTGGCAAAACAGCTTATTAAAAACTTGTCTAATACATACCCAGGTCGAATTACAAAAGAGAAATGAAAAAAGGAGTTCCTTGATAGCTTCTTGCTCAGATAACTACCCTGTAAATTGGAAATGAATAAACACTTTTTGATTTGCTAATGTCCGAAAAATGCACAAAGTAATATCAGTTAAAAGCTTCATGCAACATCTTGGTCACTTTTACTGTAACTAATGAATAATGTTACTTAAAACACATTCAATTAATGTGCAACATGAGAGAATTTAGCTGAACAGTAGGTTGCCATGTAGCTGGGACTGTGGGAAAAGAACAGATAACGAAGAGAAAGCTCTGCTAGAATTACAGTAACCTTTCAGTATGTACTAACGTGCTCATCACTTCCACAGATAATTAAGAAGTCATTTAAAAAATGAATAACCTTGGTGAGTGGTTTTGGTTTACATCTCAGAAAATAAGAGGTTAGAAAAATCACAAAATAAGCAGCATTAGTAATATGCCTCATTTCTGCTCTGGAGGGGCTTGTTCCAGAAGGACAGGTTAGCTTGAGCTAATGAAGCTCTTGTCCATTGTTGAGGGCTCCACTAAACAAGTTTATTACTTGCTATCTTAGGAGTGACACGTTAGAAAAATTATCTTTTAAATGGTCATCTTGGCATCTCAACTTGTTTCTTCATTTCTCTTCCTATGACAACTATCTACTTTCCTCACATAATAAGAAATGTCAAGGAATTTCCCAGATGGAGTTCTTGAGGCTTAGAGGGGGAAATGTAGGGAGCCAGTTTCACCAGTGGCATACTTGTCTATCCTTTAAATAAAACCTGTGGCGTACTTGTCTATGTTTTTAATAAAAAACAGAAGTGCTCCAGAAATAACTTCAGTCACACCTAAGTACTGGGGCATTACGGCTGTTTCATATTAGACCCAAACAGGCCTAACAGTTCAGGCCTGAGCCAGTTACAGAGACTGCTGCCATATGCGATAGGAACGTGATAGCCAATTAAAAGGGCCCTAGGGAGGTTCCTCCCTGTTTTGTAAAGGTGAGTTTAAGGAATCCTGACCTAACCAGTGCATTCTTCTAGAATCTGTGTTTCCGTCCTAAAATGTCCAAGATTCGGAGGTTTTTCCGTAAATCTGGTTGTTCCTCTGATTTCTATATCCCTTACGTGACAAAACTCTGCCCTTTCTCTCTTTTGCTTTCTTAACAGCCCTCTTCTTTCCTATCTTCCCAATTCTGTCTGACAAAAGAATAGATGTTTTAGCTACTTATTCAGACCAGCTGTACCAAATGCCACGAGACCGTGTGAGCTCCACCATATTGGGATTTCATGGAACTTTCCCTGTCAGTGTAGTACTGCCGGTTCTCCTTCCCTTCTCTATGTTTTTTAAAAGAGCAGTCATGTTTAATATTGTGAAATACGATGCATCTCCTCCTCTCCCAGCCTCTAGAACAGTGATAAATTTCAGAGCGCGTTCAGCGGAATTGGATTGTATTATGCACAGAACACATGTTCATCACCAAACGGTACTCGCTGGAATATATGTAAGTAGAAGGAATTGCTGAGACTTCAAAACCCCAGTTTCTCACAACTGATTTTATTAGCCAGTGTATACCAAAGAGGGGTGGCAAAAGAAGTGTTATTTTTGAAGTTTTCTTTCACCACCGAAGCCCTGTGCTGTTATAGACTGTGGGTTTCCAGTCTTTTGATTAAACCTTGCCAGTCGTGTGCTGCTGTAACATCAAAGTGACCGCTCTGCACCCTGTCGCCTCCTCCGGCAGGCAGCCATCCTGGTCTCGGACTGTGGGGTCGGCGCCGGACTGGAGCAGCAGCTCAACAATGTCCAAAAACTCACAGGCAGCAGCTGACAGGAAAATCGACAAATACGAAAACCAAGTTACCATGAGACACAGAGTACTAGACTTCAGCAGGAAAGGCAAGTGCTGAGCAATAAGGAATCCTGAACAGTGGGCGATGGGACAGTGGCTGGGGGTGACGAGGCCTTGTAACGGAACTGCGCCGTGACGGTGGGTTTGCCGGTGTTAGGAAAATCAAATTTGCCTTTGTGGTTGCCCAGAAGCTAACAAACAAATACATTTTTTTAAATTGTGAGGCTTCTGGACTCTATTCTTCAGGATGGGATGAAGGGAAGGAACAAAAATAGTTTAAGTATTTCATTTGCTTTGATCAAAATGATAGGTTTGTAGGCTAAGTCAAAAGGCTCAAAATACTGTAAATGTCGAAGAAAGGATTTTGTTTTGTCTTTGAAGAGGGGATAACTGGGTAACTAACTGAACTTTAAAATTCGTAAATGAAGAAAGAAAAAAAGGTGGACTAGTAATCAGACAATCCTTCTAAAGCAACCTTAAAAAAACGGCACCAATCACACAAGACACAGGAAGAGGAAAAGGGCCTACAGATATCAAGACTTATTATGAGGATGGTATGGTACTGCCCCCAGGATGGACAAACAGACCAAAGGGCTAGAAGAGAGAGCCATCCATTCTTTTGCACACGTACAGAAACTTGATTGTGACAATGCTGGCATTGAAGATCAGCGAGGAAACAAAGCTCCATTAATTAGATGGCACTGAGACAACTGGGCTAAAGTCAAAAGTAGGCATTTCACACAAGATAAAACATAAATAGCAACAAACATATGAAAAGATGAGCAACCACATTAGTAATCACGGAAATAAAAATTAAAACCAGGAGATACCATTTCACACCCACTAGATAATTGAAAACTAAAAACTGAGACAATACCAAGTGTGGAGGAGGCCAGGAGCAAGGGAGACTCCCCTCTGGACTGTGGAGAGTGTACACTGTGCATCACATTGGACAACACTTTGGACAACAAGTTGGCATTACACGTTAAACCTAAACAAATGCCTACCCTTGGACCCAGCAATTCTACTCCTAGTTATACTCTCTAGAAACCTTTGCATGTGTTCTCCAGGAGACATCTACAAGAATGTACATATAGTAGCCCTGTTTGTGATAGACCCCAAATGTAGACAACTCAAATGCCCATTAAGAATAACATGTAAAAATAAAATATTGTTTACATATACAATGAAATCCCTTACCAAAATGAAAACTAATGACCTATAGGTTCATATAACATGAGTTTATCTCTAGAACAATGTTGAAGGGAAAAAGCAAATTAGAAGAATACATACAGTATGTTTCCATTTAAACACAATTTTAAAAACAGGCAAGACTAAACACCATTGTTCAGAGACACAAATACGAAGTGAAACTCTAAGGGAAAATAGTGGTATGAAATTTTGGATAGTGCTAATCTGGGGTGGGGGGTGGTATAGGGAAGGCCATATAATTAGATAGGCACACACACAGGGGGTTTCAAAGATACTGGCAATGTTCTCTTTCTTAAACTACGTGGTAGGTATACAATTTTTTAAAGGTACATTTTAAATTCTTCATATACATTTTATATACAATTTTGTAGTGTGATATATTACACAACAGCAACAACAAAAGGTTTTTAAAAGAAAGGGAGAGCAAGAAGGGTAAGTAGTTTGATTCATTGAGTATTTTACTGAATACATACCATACCAGTCCTATCAAGGATACAGGTAAGATTCCTGCTCTAAGGAACTTCGAAGGATGAGTAAACACTGTGGCAGGTGGGGACACACACACACACACACACACACACACACCTGCAAAGGTGAGAGGGATGGGGAGAGGAGGAGGAAGCTAAGGAATCAGGAAAAATACTACAAGTAGGTGGTATGTAAGCTGAGCTTTGAGGACAGAGTAAAATTCCAGGTAAACTTAGAAGAAAAGGCATGCAGAGTGACAACATTAAGAGAAGCAGGAGAGCACAGGGAATGCTGAGAGAACTGTCTGCTGGCTCAGAGAAGCAATATAGAGCGTCAAAAGCAGAGGCTGGATTTAAGTTAAACTATACAAAGCCTTGAAAGCCATACTAAGAAGTTGGGCATTTATGAGGAGGGGAGTAGCATAATTTGACCTCTGTGTTAGGATGATAATTCTAGAGTGACTTGTAGAACCTAGGCATTTGTGGCAGTTAAGAGACTGTGGTAGTCCTTTTGGGGGGCTTGATATTAGCTAGTGTTGGCAGGAGTATAAAGAAGGGACTGATAAATAAATGCTGGAGAGGGTGTGGAGAGAAGGGAACCCTCTTGTACTGCTGGTGGGAATGTAAATTGATACAGCCACTATGGAGAACAGTATGGAGGTTCCTTAAAAAACTAAAAATAGAACTACCATATGACCCAGCAGTCCCACTACTGGGCATATACCCTGAGAAAACCATAATTCAAAAAGAGTCACATACCACAATGTTCATTGCAGCTCTATTTACAATAGCCAGGACATGGAAGCAACCTATAAAGATGTGGCACGTATATAAAATGGAATATTACTCAGCCATAAAAAGAAACAAAATTGAGTTCTTTGTAGTGAGGTGGATGGACGTAGGGACTGTCATAGAGAGTGAAGTAAGTCAGAAAGAAAAAAACAAATACCATATGCTAACACATATATATGGAATCTAAAAAAAAAAAAAGGTTCTAAAGAACCTAGGGTTAAGATGGGAATAAAGACACAGACCTACTAGAGCAGGGACTTGAGGATATGGGGAGCGGGAAGGGTAAGCTGTGACGAAGTGAGAGAGTGGCATGGACATATATACACTACCAAACGTAAAATAGATAGCTAGTGGGAAGCAGCCGCATAGCACAGGGAGATCAGCTCGGTGCTTTGTGACCACCTAGAGGGGTGGGATAGGGAGGGTGGGAGGGAGGGAGACGCAAGAGAGAAGAGATATGGGAACATATGTGTATGTCTAACTGATTCACTCTGTTATAAAGCAGAAACTAACACACCACTGTAAAGCAATTATACTCTGATAAAGACGTTAAAAAAAAAGAATAAAGGTAGAATTCTAATTAAAAAAAAAGTTTGTGAACACTAAATTTAATAATTAACGAAACTGATATAATGTCATATTTGTAGACACCTAGCTAAACATTTAATTATTTATATTTTGCAATTTTCTTTTTGTTTTCTGGAGCAAAGATATTTTGTTTCAGATTTCAGGTACTTTTATAGGTTTTTGAAAAGCTCTTAGGCCCAAGGCCTGTGATCGTAATGTTTACTGAATAAAACAGCCTGAGTATTTCTACACTTGATAAAATTACTGATAAATCTGATTATATAGAAACCTAAAACTGATAAATTTGAACACAAATTTAAAACAGCTATACCACACACACAAAAATACTATATACAAAAGTAAACCATAAACTGGGAAACATATTCACCTACATAACACAGATAAGAACTAATATCCTTAATATTAAAACAAAAAAAAAACTTTAACAAATCAATCCAATGGTCAAAAGAATTAGAAGAATCAAAGATGACACCTATGTTTCTAGTCTTGGAGAACACATAGATGCTGGTGACATCTCTAAAATAAGGAACCAGAAGAAGGAAGAGCAAAGTTTTTGGAGGGGAACAGAAGCAGAAAATTATGGAGGGGTAGAAATAATATTGTTTGGGACATGATAAATATGTGGTACTAGGGGATATCTATATTGATAAGCTCAGTAGTAGGGAGGTAAAATTTGAATCTGAAAAAAAAAAACCCACTCACCCCATACACACTACTATCTCCATTTTTACTGTACTGTGTGACTTTCTGAAGACATATGTTTTGGGCTCAGGATTTTTAGCAATTTTTCTGGATACTCTTTAAATATATTTATATTACGTGATCACTCTGGCCAAAGAGCTACCTACCTAAGGTGGTTTCCCTTACCATGCTGGAGAAATACATTTGAAAGAGACATACAGATTACTGAAAATTCCTAATGGTGTCCTTACCAGTAGACACATTTATTTGGTTGGGAAATAAAAAGCTTAAGAGGCAAAGACTGTTAATGCCCGTTATTAAATTTTCACTTGTAATTTTTACTACAATTTACATTCATCCACTTTGGTTTTCATTGTTGATCACTAAGCATGTTTTACTAATTATTATTTTACATTATCTCTACTGGGTTTTCTTCTCCCTATAAGCAGGCTTTAAGACTTCACTAGCTCTCTTTTTTTAAAATTAATTTATTTATTCTTGGCTGCGTTAGGTCTTCGTTGCTGCACGCGGGCTTTCTCTAGTTGTGGCGAGCAGGGGCTACTCTACATTGTGGTGTGCAGGCTTCTCATTGCAGTGGCTTCTCTTGTTGCGCAGCATGGGCTCTAGGCGTGCAGGCTTCAGTGGTTGTGGCATGTGGGCTCAGTAGTTGTGGCCCATGGGCTCTCGAGTGCAGGCTCAGTAGTTGTGGCTCACTGGCTTAGCTGCTCTGCAGCATGTGGGATCTTCCTGGACCAGGGCTCAAACCCATGTCCCCTTCAGTGGCAGGTGGATTAACCACTGTGCCACCAGGGAAGCCCCACCAGAGAAGCCCCACCAGCTCTTTAAAAGCGCCATTATCAAGCCTACTTATAATGATTCTCCTTTGCCACACCTGGCCTTCTCTCTCCACCAGGCTTTCACTAGACTCTACTGCAGTGAGCCTGCATCAGAATCACCTGGAGGGCTTGTTGGACCACAGACTGCAGGGTGCCACCCCCGCAGTTTCTGATTGGTAGGTTTGGAGCAGGACTGAGAATTTACATTTCCTAGCAGGTTCCCAGGTGATGCTGATACTGATGATCTGGGACCTCACTCTGAGACTCGGGGCTCTACCAGCGTGCCTCCTGCCTCATACTATTGGTCAATTTTCACAGCTAGAGCCACTTAACTCACACGTATTGATAATGCCCCACACAGGTAAGAAGGAACACAGGCCTCTCATTGGTTCAGTGCGA